AGCCTGAGGAATAACTATTGGTCTGAGAATCGTGGTCTTTTAACTCGGGTTATCTCTTCTTAGCCCAAATTCTGTATTTCAAGCCCAAACAGATCACATGGAAATCAATTAAACAAATTACTTCATCTCGAGCATAATGCATGGATACAAGTATCTACGTACTTTTGAGTAGAAGAATTTAGCGTTTGGAATATTAATGGGGTAACATCGCCCAAACCCATATTTCTTCTCCTTTTTGTTTATTTCTTTTGGTCGAACTAAAAGACCCATATTTCTTCTACCACTCATGGTGGACTATCAGTTTGAACGTCTTTTATGGCAAATTTGCCGTCATCAGTTGATTGGCTCTGGCCATATTGTTTAACAAGTTTTGATTTACTTTCATATGTATCCTTTGAATACTTGATCAGTGTTTCAATTTTCTCAAAAGTAATACTTAATTCTACACGAAAACTTTTGTTTTGTTTCATTCTAATTTTCATATTTCGTTTGATTGGAAAGATCTGCCATTTCAATCAGCTAGCTGTCATAAACCAGAGTGCATATTTATAACATGAGGGAGATAAAAACTCTTTTCATGATTGAATAAAAAATGTGTAGTGCACTTACATGGTTGTTTCTTAAGAAATAATTTACGTGGTTGTTTACTTTTATAGGTAGCGATTAACTAGTATATAAGGACATGTCCATGCATGTGATTAACCAAGACGTAGAAATGACTAGCAGTAAACATTATTATTGTTTTTGTTAAATGCTTTATTGTTCATGAACAAGCATTCCTATACACAAGTTCAGATCAGCAAACGATGTGGATGTATCAAAGGTACAATGCTCACATTAGAAAATAATCAACTCGCGTTTAATGGCTTCACATGGTCAGCTATATTCTCTCATGAATTAGTTTATGAAAGCAAACTTGAAGAAAATTATAATATCCAAATTCTGGACTAAGGCTTGATCAATTATATGAATTTCATAATTAATTAACAAGTCTTAATTCCGTGTTAAATTATTTTGAACTGGATCATGCAAACCACACGCAAGTAATTGTGCAGATGAATATCCTAAAGCATATACGTTAATCCTAGGTTTTAACTAATAATTAACAGACTTAATTATATGTATGATATAGATATATGTGTGGGGAAAGTCGTACGTATCAACTGCAATGAAAACTCCAACGGCCGCCAGCTACCATTGATCACCTCTCACGCGACAGATTCATTCACCACGCTACCTTGATCAAATAGAAGCTTGGTACGTTTGGGTATATAAATTATAACACATCACAGAATCCATACATACCAGTAGAACAATTCTCATTAAAAAAAAAAAAAAAATTAAAAAAAAACTTTGGTTCTTTAATTAGCTGATGATGCAGATCATTCTCAAAAGTAATCCGCGGCTTTAAACTTATAGCTTCTCTAAACTTTAAGATTGGATAAAAATGGATAATAATAGAGGCATATATTAAAGGTAGATGTGGATGATTTCTCATTTTAAGAGGATTAGAAGAAAATTAGACATGAAGAAAACTTATCTCTTCAATCAGTATTTTAATGAGGGGGATTGCATCGGATAAGTTCTGTTAATCATTAAGTTCTACCTTCAAAGTTGGAACAGTGTTTTTATTTTTCTATAAAATTATGATCAATACTAACTAGCTATACCAAATAAGACCAATACAGACGTACATAGGAGGCGCAAAGTGGTTTTTTTATCTAATATTTTATGATAATAACATGATGTTTTATTAGAAAGTTGAGGGTTCTATCTACATGTAAGACTTCTTAATTTCTCGATGTGAATTTTTACATTTTTAACACGCCCCCTCACTTACATATTGAGTTAGGTGATATCATGGGGCCGTTAGACTAAAATGTGGATAGTTAACCTGGTTGTGATAGATATAAGACAGTTGGGGATTCACCCTACCTAATTAAACCAATTGCCTTGCAATTGGGTGATTCGATCCCCCTATCCCAACAAAAACAGCTCCACCCCACCCAAATCAGTAAGGCTATTCGGTGGGCCCACCACCCCCCCCGGGGGCGCCCGGGCGCGGCGGCGCGACTCAGCAATTGGCCCATTCTTCCCCGCCTCTGCGCTTCAGGTGATATGACGAAACATGACAAAATAAAAATTTGCATGTAAGGTTGCAGCAGCAGGAGACGGTGATCGAGGGAGAAGGTGGCAGAGATAGGGCCTCGTTTGTTGGGGAGGCCTTCTTGGTGGCTATGGCTCCCATGATTTCTGGGTTTCGAGATGGAGAGAGAGAGAGAGGGAGTGGGACAGACGGATTGAAATACGAACGAACATAGAAAGGAAGAAAAAGAGGGAGAGGGGAGGGAGAGATTGAGACGGACGGAGAAAACAAGGGAGGGGAGGGAGAGACAGAGGAAGAAAAAGATGGAGAGATGAAGGACGGAGGAAACGAGGCTGCAATAGACAAAAATAAAGATTGACAAAAAAAAAAAAAAAGTAGAAGACAAAAGAAAAAAGAAAATTAAAAATAAATAAAATCATTTTTTATTTATTTTTTAAAAAATAATTTTTTAATACTAATTAGCCGGGCATTTCATTTAATGGGGCGGGTGGAGAATCTGGAGATCCACTCATACAATTAGTATTTATTAATAGCATCTCTAACACTATTTTTGGATGAAGAAATTTAAGATTACTAAGGAATTTAAAAATGACGGAAATTGAAATGACGAGATTTTATTTTCTAGAATTTGTAAATTTTCTTGTTTGGCTAACCTAAAAAAACAATGGAATTGAATACGGAATTTGTTATTTTTAAACTCTCAATCGTAGAAATTGGGAAATGACACCTATTTACATGGAATTTGAACTTGGGAATTGGAGGTCCCAAATTCCAAGTTTTTTTTCCACGCGGAAATTCTAAATTTCTATGTTTATGAATCCAAACAAGGAAATTGGTTCATGTCAATTTACAAATTCTGACTTTTATCAAAATTCCAAGTTTATTTCCCTCATCCAAACATAGTGTAAAGGAAATGGCAAAATTCTAAGTGGAATACTATTGTGCATATTTGACATTAAATTTTTCTTCAACCGAAGTGTTATCTGCAAATTGAATTTGAAAGCTTAGTGATGTCAATTTTATTTTGAATTCATTTGAATGGTTGGTACCTTATTCTACTAGCATTTGAACCAATAAAAATTTTGTTTCAACATTTTTTTAATAATCACAACCACTTAAAGTTCTGTCTAAATAATAAAATAATATTTGACAGTTCGGTTGGAGAAGTACAAAATTTGACATAAGACTTCAAATTTTCACATCAACCATCAATTGTAATTTGAGTCTTATAATTTGATATCTCATTAGAGATGATTCAAGACAATAATTGTCAATTGCCCAATTGACTTGACAATTATTGCCTTAGTGAGGTGGAATTGCTCTCAATTTCCTAATGTGTAATCCACACTCTCTGTAAAGTCCCTTATAAAAACAATTTGAGAAAGGATAATGTTAAGAAGACTCTTTCAAAAGTGGGATTCTCAATGGGCAATTCGGCACTCTTTCATAATATTGCCACGTGAATTGTGTCAAAAAACTAAAGTGGAGGAAAGTCATAAAAACCCCACGTTTGAAAGAATCCTTTTAACATTTCACAAACAATTTATGTCCAAAAACCTCTTTGTAAGTTGTAAGGCCCTTGAGAATTGGTTATTGGCACGAAGCTAAAAGGGACAAATATTAGAGAAAAATCAATCTTACATTTAATAAACTAATGTCCTAAGCGAAAAAATAAAAATAAAAATGTAATGTCCTAAACCGATGTTGTAGTTTCCTCAAACATGTTTCTTAAATCCTAACGCATAGTCAATATAATAAAATATGATGGAGGTTGGTAGGGAGTTCCATGTATTTGAAATTTGGCGAAAGAGATATGAGAGACTCCAAAGCGTGATATTCGTCTGAGTGAATTTATAATTCTCAATCACAATAAGCATTAACTAATTTCAAGATAGCAATTTAACAAAAATGGCATCCAATTACTTGATCTGCTTTTGTAATTCTCATCAGCATAGATTGTGCTGCTTCTGTAATCAAAATACAAAAAGAAAAATATCAAAAATCTCCTTAAGTATTTATAATATATATAAAAATAAGTAACAAGATTGAACAAAAATCTCCATAAGTATCTCACACATTTTTTTTTTGTTATCGAATTGAACAAATCAAATGAAAATAAGTAACAAGATTGAATAAAAATAAGAAGAAAATAGTGTGTCTTTTATCGTTTCCCAAATATTTTATGATCATAGAAGTTAATTTATTTTTCCATTTTTTAATTCAAGTACCCTTTAAAGCATTATATCATTTTAAGCATCAACGAATATATTTTGTACTTTTTATTATAAATAAATTGAAATACGTTCTTCAACTTTTGATCTTATTGATGAGGGATTTGAAACTAGAGGCGGAATGCATCAAAAACCCTAATCCATTGGAGATCGAAAGTGATGAATCTCCACGGTTCCAACTTGCCAAATGTGACATACGTGGGATCTGATACGACAAGCAAGAAACATCCTGTCACTGCCAAGCTGAAAGGCAATGAAGCCGTGGACGTAATGCATCTCCCAAAACAAACACTAATTAAAGTCAACAATCACCAAATCCGTGACGAAATTTGCAGCCAAAATGCCAAACACTTTCATACTCTTAAATATGAAAAACCCATCAAATGATTCGAATTTGCTTACCATATGTTATGCCTTTGGATATACCTTTTGGACACGTGTCGATCTGGATGCAGTCCCACGTGTCACATACTAACCGCGAGGTATTGTCCATTAACGTTAAATCCAGGGGCAGGGTGTCATAAAAGTTTTTTAATAAATAGGGTTTAATCTAATTGACAACTCCGTTTTTTCATACGAGGAAGAGGAAAGAAGCAGACATTTGCTTTCTTGATAATTTTCTGGTGACATTAGAGGTTGAGGAGTAGTCCTTAAACGTTAAACATGGCGATCAAACGCCGGCCGGGACTGGTTCTCGCTGTTTTTACGTTAATGGGCTTGGCCTTCCCGGTGTCGTTTGGTGCATTTGTTCAGGGGTACAATCGTCCACCGGCTCGCAAGGACCTCTATATCCCTGCGGATGATCCTGGTTCTGCTTCTCCACAACAGGTACCGTTGAGTTATTCTTTTTTTATGAACTGATACAAGTTTTTTTTTTTTTTTTTCTCTGCCCAGAATTTAATTTAATTTAATTTTTTTGTAATGGAATAAGAAGTTTTCTTTGTTGGGGTAATTTGAAAGCAAGATTGTAGGCTTGGACGGTGGTGAATTAGGCCAAGATGGATTACCAGAATGAAGAAATCTGTTTAATTTCTTACTCACCAACCACAAGAAATGCGAGTGATTAACTAAAATCTCGTGAATTCCTAGATTATTTTTTATGTTGAACAAATGTTTATAAATTAATTATAGAGAGTCTCTTAGTCAAATAAATGGGGACAGACACCTGTGACACTAGAGGCCAAATTTGAAGTATAAACTAAACCTTATACGTTGTATAATGATCAATATCTTCATTTATAAAATATAAAAAAAAAAGACTAAAACCCAAATTGCACCAATAAGGCCTGGCAACATAACAAATTGATGCATTGTCTCCTGAATTGTGTTGTTATTTCTACGAGAGTAAAATTCGTGCAACTCCCAAAGTAAATACTAAATAAAAAAATTGAGATTTAAAATATCATGCTCTTATTAGATGGTCCGTATTTAGATTAACCCTAGCTAATATATTTGCTAGTTATGTGCACATGCAGGTGCATATTTCTGTAGTCGGTGAGGACAAAATGAGGGTGACATGGATCACCGACAGCCCTAGTCCGGCAACAGTGGTATATGGAACATCTACAGGTGTCTATGAAAGCTCTGCAACTGGAAATACAAATTCCTACACGTATCTTGTGTACACATCTGGGGATATTCACGACGTCGTTATCGGTCCGTTGAAACCCAACACGACGTACTTCTACCGCTGTGGATCCTCTGATTCGGATCCTGAGTTCAGTTTTAAAACCCCGCCTGCTGCATTCCCTATCACATTTGCAATCGTAGGTATGTGTAAATATGTAGCATATGTATTGCTTAATTAAATTTACCATTTATTTCATTTTCATATATACATACATACATACATACATACGTACATATATATATATGTATTCATTTCATATATTAATGCTCTTAAAAAATTTTACCAAGTAACCATATTTAATAAATTAATTTACCATTTATTTCATTTTCATACATACATACATACATACATACATATATATATATATATATATTCATTTCATATATTAATGCTCTTAATTTTTTTTTTACCGATTAACCATATTTAATAAATTAATGCCCTAAATATTCATTTCATATATTGATGCTCTTCAAAATTTTACCAATTAACCATTTTTTAATAAATTAATTGTTTATAACTATACTGAAAATTTAGTGTTAAATTTTTTTGAATTTGGATCATTGATTCGCTTAAATTTTGCTTGAATGTCCGCCAAACATTTGTGAACATAAGTATGGTAAGATCCTGAGTATGTACATGGAATGGAATTAATCAGTTCAAAGGATGTACATGTCATGTGGTACATTGTATGTAAACTAGTTTAATTGATTAGCACAACTCATGGTCTAATGATAGTTGTGTCCATTATGTTGGAGATTTCATGTTCGACTCATGCGTGCATACGCTAATGTTACCTTTTTGCAGTGGAGTCTGTATCTAGTTGTAGGCTTGTAGCTAACCCATTCTTATGTCATAGCTAATCACCCCATTAAAAATTATTCGTAAATATCCCATTGTTTGTCACAAACAAAAATGATTACTAGGAATTTGTGCCGGTGATATTGCATTTGCAATATTAAAAGAGTGTCGAGTTCGAATTTTATTTCCCGTTAATAAATAAATGAAATTAACTACCTACGTATATGCTTGGCAGGTGATCTTGGACAAACTGAATGGACCTCCTCAACCCTCGAACACATAGACAAAGTAAACCACGACATGTTCTTACTACCAGGTGACTTATCCTATGCAGACGTCATCCAAAATAAATGGGACTCATTTGGCCGTCTGGTGCAGCCACTGGCAAGCAAACGGCCTTGGATGGTTACACAAGGCAATCACGAGATCGAAAAGATCCCAATCGTCCACCCGCATGCCTTCACCGCATACAATGCACGGTGGCACATGCCATACGAAGAGAGCGGATCGGACTCAAACCTCTACTACTCATTCAATGTAGCCGGAGTTCATGTGATCATGTTGGGGTCGTACACTGATTTTGATCCTAGTTCTGCACAGTACCAGTGGTTGCAAGCCGATTTGGGAAAGGTTGACAGGGGGAGGACGCCGTGGATCGTCGTGCTTATCCATGCTCCTTGGTACAATTCTAATAAAGCTCATCAGGGTGAGTCTGAATCTGTTGACATGAAGGAGGCCATGGAAGATTTGCTCTATCAAGCTTGTGTTGATGTGGTTTATGCAGGGCACGTACATGCCTACGAGCGTTTTGTAAGTTCACCTTCACTTAATGTGCGAATAGTGTTAGAGTGATCACATTTTGCACTATCTAATTAAGTAGTTAATGAATAGAGCACAACACACTAATAAACACGTAATTAATCATGAATTTTCTCGCATAAGTAATGTTAAGGCAATCGCATTGATGAATTCATTAGTTGATCATACTATATATGTAGTAAGTGTTGTTGAAGCACTAAATAGTTGATAAGTTAATATGAGGGTAATGTCACTTAGTACTACAGTCTAGTGGTTTCCTCTTCATTGGTAAGTGAGAGGTCTTAGGTTTGATTCTTACCAAAGGCGATTTTGTTTTTCTTTTTTTAAAGAAAGTACGATATTCATTAAAGAGAAGAACACTTACAAGGCAAGAGGATAGTGTGGCCTCAATAAAAACCTTACCGGGAACCACATTATTGCTAGCTCATTGTGAGACTTAGCCCACTCTGTCACCCTTTTAGTATACATAGTATCATTTGTTCAACCAAAAAATAAATAAAATGAGGGTAATAACTCGTTTTGAACCTACTGCATAATTTAATCTCATTATTGAACCGTTCATTTTTTAGGTATGCATTCAAATAATATCATTCTTACAAAAGTCACATAAATTCGAAATTGATTAGGATTGCTTTTAATTATTTGGTTTGGTTGAATATATCATTAATGGTTTTATTTTACTTTGTTGTCTTAGACTCGCGTTTACAACGATCAATCCAATAATTGTGGTCCAGTGCATATTACCATTGGAGATGGTGGCAACCGTGAAGGCCTTGCTAGCAAGTAATTAAGTTGGCTTAATTAATTGCAGCTCTTTCTATCGGTTCCTTAAATATTTCATGCATTTCATTTATTGCAAACTCACTCACTTTTTCATTTTTAATATTCCAGGTACTTGAATCCGCAACCCAAAATATCGGTTTTCAGGGAGGCAAGCTTTGGGCACGGGCAATTGGTTGTAGTGAATGCAACCCATGCACTGGTGGACATGGCATCGGAATGAAGATAGTGAGACAATAGCAAGTGACTCCATTTGGCTCACAAACCTCTCGTCTGATCCTGCCTGCAAGAAGTAAACTGTAGTTGTTATACATAAGAAAATCCATGTATTGTATGTGTTACTTCTAACCCTAATAATCTAATGGGAAAATGGAAATTATTAGTTGACGGTCTCTATTATTCTTTCCTTTTGTGCGATCTCAGCTTTTATTTTTTATTATTTTTTTATACAATCAAGATGGGGAAAATGAAGATTCTAAATATATGAGTGTGTGCTCTGAATCACTAAGGGTGCGTTTGTTTGGCCTAATTAAATGAGACTGGACTGGACTGAACTACGAAACCATGTTTGATAGATGCTGGGACTAAGTTAAGTGAGACTATAAGGGACTCGTGTGGACTAGAGGCCTCCGTAAAGGTTCTTAGTGAGGCCCTCCCCAAACCATGGGACTTGCTAAGATCAGCTTCTTCCTCCTCCCTGCGAGCCCCTCTGTGAGTTCTGGGCTTCCTAATTTTGGATTTCGATGGGATTTAATTAAGATCTGCAAACTATCCCTAGCAAGCTGCTTCGCTTCGCCATGGTCATCATCCTCTAAAATCTTGAATCTCATATTTCCCACCACCAACATCAACCACAAAAAATCCCCCATCTCATATTTCCCACCACCAACCATCACTCGCAAAAAATCTCCAATCTCATATTTCCTGCCGCCACCACCGCCATGGACAAGCCATCCGAGAAGCTCCAGAACCTCAAGTCGCTGAATTCTCTGAATTCTCTGCTGCTCAAGGAAACCAAGGACCGCCAGCAACAGGTGGAGTCGTTGGTGCAGGGCAAGGCAGATTTGGAGTCTGAGCTGAGTTCGTTCCGCCATGGAGATTAAGCCGCTTGTGAGCGAGTTGAGTGAGTAGAGCAAGGAAAATGTTGGGTTAGAGTTGGAAAATAGTGTTTGTGGTGTTTTTGTTCTGACCCAGATGGAGCAAATGATGTGAGATAAAGTTTGAGATTGAGAAAGGCGATGAGTAGAGAGATGGTGAAATTGTGAAGTTAATGAGGGAAGTGGAGCAGCTTGCTGGTGGACTCGAGATCGAGAAGGGAAGCTGAGAGAGAGATTATGTGAACAAATTAATATTACATTAATTTCGATGATAAACTACGGTATTATTTTCATTATCCTACTTGTTAATCCGACACTACACCAAACGCTTCACTAAGCTAGTCCAACTTAGTTTAGTCTAAGCCAGTCCAGCTTAGTCCCTGAAGCTAATCCAGTCTGAGACAGTCCGGTGCAACAAACGCCCCCTAAAGTTACAAATTCATTGTTGTTGCTTTTATTATTAGTTTGTGAATCATGTTTTGCCGCGTTCCACAAAATGACTTATAAATCACTATGTATATTAAATGTTAGTAAGTTCATTTGATATTCATCTCCAAATCCAAAAGGTGACAGCTAAATTAAAAAGTATGATGTTATTCTCACCTCAATGTCTTATCTTCCCACTCACCTTTTAATGAATTTTTTTAATTACCAATTTATCCATTTTGCAAAAATACCGATAAGGACATTAATTATCTTGTTTTGCTTAATTTAAAAAAAAAAAAAAAAAGTTGGGCGTGGGAGACGATTTCTCTACCTTAAACCCTAACTCATATTTTTATCTCCTTTCACTCAAAGAAAGCAAAAAAAAATCAATGGACTTAGAAGATGACTTTTTCATTGAAGAAGTAGAAAATGACTTTTCATTGAAGAGGTGGAAGATGACACTTATACGGAAGAGGTAGAAGATTACGTTTCCATTGAAAAGGTAGAAGAATAATTTGTGTGTGGGTCATTTGAATTTGTCCATCATATTTTTTATTTTGTCATTGTCTAATTCTTTTGAATTTAGATACCTCTGTCGTTTCCATTTGAATTTGCAGACCTTAGTGGTTTTCATTTACATATTATTTGTTTATATTTTTTAAGAGAGAATTTTATAATTTCATATGTATGTATATATTAAAGGTTATTTTGAGTATAATAGTAGGTGGGAAAATAATATTTTATTTTTTTAACCTTTTAAGATGGATGAGATTATAACGTGGGCGAAAAAATAAAATAATAAGGTGGGTCTAATAGCTCTCGTTAAAAAAACTCAAAGACAGCCAAAACCCAAATTTAAAAAACATGGATGTTATTGTTTGTTACGGTTGAGAAATGTTGTCAAGGTCAGTAGCTGGTTGTGCATGGATTTAGGTCGCTACGCAAATACATGCAATAATTAGCTAAGCACAAGTACCCAATTATAAGGTGACTATCTTAATTGAATTTATCTTTATGTTTAGGTAAGATGCCTTAGGCAACCGCCTAACTTACCTAACCTTAAGCTGACTATGATGTTCTGATTTAGTACTCAATATAAGGTTAATAAAAAAAAATATCAACATATGGGTTGCTTTTGTGGAGGAATTGGAAAGTGACGTTTTATGTCTGATGTGAATATTGTCTAACTATTACTTTAGGTATTATTGAGTTTTGTACGTGTGATCTAAATTGACACCTTACAAAATGCCAAGTTTCTCTTTAAGAGATTACACAAATGTTTTACAATGACATGACACACTTTTTTTTAAGTCCAAAATACCAGCAAGACAAGCTGCAAACAAACAAAAAAATCCAAAAAAATTAGTAAAAAAAAAATTCCCACGTCAAGAAAGGAAGACAAACATGTAGGTTGGCATGCCTAAGAAATCTGAATGCATAAAAGGAAGAAGCTCTACAGAAGGAGCAGAATATCGAACAAGTGAATACGAGAGAAACCCTAAATTGGCTAATTTGTTAGCAACTGTATTCCCTTCTTGAAATGTATGAGAGCAATAGAATACCATGTTTCTATAATTGGGAAATACAATTTTTCTAACATGTCTGAAGTGACCAATGAGGAGAAAAAGAACCATAAACAAAATAAGATATCACGCTAGAAGAGTCACTTTCAAGTCATATATTTTGTCAACCCTGTGCATGAGCCAACTCCACAGCAATGATGTCAGCATGAAGCTTTGCATAGAAAGAAGTAGGATGCCCCAAACTCGAGGGAGAAACCACCAAAAAAATAACTTGCATAATCTCGGAAAACCCCACCACAAGTCGCAGGACCTAGATTACCTTTTGCAAGGCCATCAGTAGTCACTTTGACCCAAAAAAACGGAGGCGGATGCCAAAGAACATGGACTATAGAAGGAGCTTCACAAGACTCATCCAAAAGAGACTAAAAGTTGCTTATTCAAAATACCACGTACATTACCAGAAGTGAAAATACTCCAACTTGCCTAATCCAGGCCAAAGTGGAACCACAAGGGTGTGAAAAGTTTGGAGGCTTACTTTCAAACTTCACATTATACGCATCTTCCAAATAATCATTAGTAAGAAAAACTCTAATGCTAACCAAACATTGTGAAGTTGAGGTTCCATAAATTTCAAACTCGATTCTTAGTTATGATGATTTATTATGTGACTTAACTCAAGTTTCCACTCACAAATATCATTATCTTAAAATAAATACATAAATGAAAGCCCAATTACAACAATGTGCCAAGTCAATGAATAACACAGATTTTTTTTATAAAATGAAAGCCCAAAACACATGCTTTCCATGTGGTATCTTTGGGCTACCCAGGACCCAATTAAGTTTTTTAGAATCGAGAGTTAGATGGCCCGTGTTCCTTTAACGGGATAAGATAACTCCTCTAACATTTCTTATGTCACAGGAGAAGGCAAACTGAGAAAATTTGTTGCATCACCAAAAGTATATCCATTATGTTTACAACTTTCACCACATGATTCGAATTATGAACATAATAATAAAGAGATATACCTCTGGTTGTAAGGCAGGTTCGTTCAAGTCCAACACCCTCCAAAAAATTTCAAGACCGACTTGCAACTGCGTATGTTGAGTAGAATTATTGTGGCACTATTGACCATGAGTACAATGTGGAATAAAGAAAATCATCAGTTGACATCCCTGACACTGAAGCAACTAAATTTCAACCACATCCCATCCCTATCCACAACAAAAAATGATCATCTGATTCCACATTGTCAAAAAAATCCCAGTTGAAATATTGTTCATGAACTCGTCATGTTCTATCATGTCGAAACCCTAGTTATCAGTTGAAATAGTGTCATTCCAAGAGGCGTATATCAATTATTCAATTTTCTTAAACAAAAAGTAAAATTCCAGGAGGCATATAAATATGGCAGTCCAATGAACAATAAATATTTCAACTAAGCAAAAAGTATAACGATTTGTAACTCTACCATTTGTTACATAAACAATTTCGTATTTTTTTAGTCTGGTCATGCATTAACGATTCGTTGGTGTCCCACAACAAAGTAATATTACTGTATCCTTTGTGCTTTTTCCCTTTTTGGCAAAGGGTACTCCTTAAAATCTAACTATTTCTATCATGAAAATGGAAACTATGTGGGATTCATCTATGTGAAGTGGGTTCAACATAAGAAAATCTACTGGGTATCCACTGATAAATGAGGGTTTCACCATGGTTGGCCCCCAGAAGTGTGGGAAACTTGAAGTGCAAATGACATTTACTTTAGTTAATATTTCTTTGATTTAAACTATTGCTGATGAGTTGAATTTGAGATAGAGTTTCTTTTTACATTGAAAAATATAATGGCGTAACATAATTATGTTACTTGACATTCTTCAAAACTAACATATCATATGTTATCATGTGCTATATTATGTACACAAAATTGTATGTAGCTGATGCTATGACGAAATCACTTTTCCTAGATATTTGGTTAACATCAAATCTACGATATCTAAGTCCTTTCCAAATGCTAAACATTTCTAGTCAACGAACAAGTTCTACATCAAAGTGTCATGCATCCAATTAGAACTGAGAATCAATGGGGTGGGTACATAATCCAGATTTGAACTAGTTGGACACACTCAAGCCCACCTAGAAGGCTACGTGTGAACTCATTGGGGGATTCAACTAGCGATCTTTAAGATTTGAGGCCAGAACCCAGAAGAGCAAAAAAGGGTTATGATCTTCTCTTACACGTGTGGTCCCAAACAAAATTACCACCCTAAAAAGTTAAAATTATCAAACCCTTCTTAGCTCACGTGTAGGGTTCAATGCACTTACTAACCATAATAATAATGTAGA